TTCATTATTATGCTTTTGACAAAAGATGATCAAACCACTGATGAGAGATGATTTTTCCTATTATGATTGGCTGTATCAATCATTGTGATTGAATGTTTCAATCTTATTCCACTTTGTGATATAATTGATGTAAGGTGAGACCCCACTCGAACCTGGAGACGCCTATTGAGTTAATTATTGACCAAATTATTATTAGACTAATGTTTTTAGGTTATCATAAATGATAAAAAGAGAGGACTGTTGTGGAAATAATTATCATAAGACGCCAATTAGTAACATACAGGACAAACCTCGATGTCTGTTTACCTTCTTTAAGGACACAGGCGGCTTAGCCAATAATGTTATTGTTCCCATTCTGTGACCGGTCAATACTGGGATACAGATGGTCTGTGTTGTGGGTACACTGGGACACTTCCTTCTCTGTATTTGTGGACTCCAAGGTAAAATCTTCGAGGTCATAAGTGTCCGAGGCAAGTGGCTCTGTGTTCCCACACTGTTTAGGCTATCTCCTCAAATATGTTGTTTACTCTCTGCGAAACCAGTTAGATGGGCTGGCAAGAGAGAGGCTCTCCAGAATTGACGTGGCAACTCTACCGTGGAGTCAGAACCTCTGACTCTTGGATTTGTGATGTGAATACTCTGGTACCAACTCCAAATAAATCACAGTGGTTTGACATCAAAGCTCCGACTCTTCCCGTGTCTCCTTCCTGAGTCGGTGACTCCACTGCATGCTACACAGAAGTTTCCTCTACAGTAGCATGTAGATGTTAAAGAGAAGAGGCCCCAGGATGGAGCCTTGAGGAACCCCAAATGTCATATTTATAAAAAACCAAGTTTTTCCAGTCCTAAGACCGTAGGATTCAAACACATTTAGAACTTTAGAACTTAGTTTTCCAGTTAGTCTAGTAATATGTTGTGTTCAACAGTTTCAAATGCAGCACTAAGATCTAATAATACTAACACTGAGTTTCTGCCACTGTCGGTGTGTAAGTGGATGTCATCGAATACCTTAACAAGAGCAATCCCTGTGCTGTGGTGCGGCCGAAAGCCTGACTGGAACACATCCAAACAGTTATTTAAATGCAAGAATATGGCGCAACAGCGGCAATTAAAGTTTAAAAGTCTCAAAAATGCTACAACTACTGTCAAACTAGATGAAACACCACGCTGCTCCTCCGCTCCCTTCACTGGCTTCCGCTAACTGCTAGAATCCGCTTCAAGACACTGGTACATGCTTACCATGCTGTGAATGGATCTGGCCCTTCCTACATCCAGGACATGGTTAAACCGTACACCCCAGCACGTGCACTCCGCTCTGCATCAGCCAAACAGCTCGCTGCACCCGCACTGCGAGGGGGACACAAGTTCCCATCAGCAAAAACACGTGGGTTTGCTATCCTGGCTCCAAAATGATGGAATGAGCTCCCCATTGAAATCAGGACAGCAGAAAGCCTACACATCTTCCGGCGCAGACTGAAAACTTATCTCTTTCGACTCTACTTCGAGCGATAGAATTATTAACAAAGCACTTATATACTAATAAAGGACTGGCTTATCTAAAGCCAGTTGAGTAGCACTTGAAATGTTTTAGCTCTATGAAACCTGATGTACTTATATGATTCTGTTTTCTTCAAGTTTGTATTTTGTTGGTCGAACGCACTTATTGTAAGTCGCTTTGGATAAAAGCGTCAGCTAAATGTAATGTAATGTAATTAATGTGAAGTATTTTGTTAAAGGAGGATGAAAGCGTAATTAAGGAGCACTATTGGAGTGACTTTGATGGTTATTGGACTCAGGATTAATTCATTTGGATTCCCGCTGTATGAAGAAATTAAAGGACGGCGCAAGTGGAAACAATTCACAAAGGGATTAAACTGTTTAAAACACATGCTCAAAGTAAGCCGGATTTTGCCGATGTGTTTATGTGGATTCAAAAGTCATACATAATCTACAAAATGGAGGAGACCGATCTGATCGGAGCAACTGTGACAAATAATCCAACTGAAACCGGCATGGACAATGACTATGTTTTAAAAATGCGCTTATCCAGAAAAGCCCGGTTTGGACACTTTACGGGCAGAAGAAACATTTCTATTAAAGAAATAATTATACATTTCTGTCTTTTTATGCCTTTAATAGCTACTAACTTGAATTTGTATTCAAATTAATTAATCAATTATTTTTTATATTTTATTGTAATGTAGAGACAAGGCTTTTAGTGACAATCATGTATTGCTTTACAAAAAAAGTCTAAATATGATATTTGGCCTCCAATCATCTGAGGCCTGGTGCCCCCCCTGCGATCTTTGGCGGCCCCCAGGTTGGGAACCACTGCTCTAGGTCTTTATCGTTAATCAGATGGAATAGTGTCATGGTATTTGAATTTATTTTAAGTGGACACAGGGACAACACATTTGATGTACCTGATACAGAGACACTGACTGCTTGTCTGATTTTATGAATTTTATTCGTGAAGAAGGAGGCACATTCATTGTAGGCCGTGGTGAATGGAAGTTCAGAGGCTACTGACACGGGGGGGTTTGTTAGTCTGTCGACGGTAGGAGGGCTGCAAGGGGCGATGGGGGTTGTGGGCCAGTTTTGCCACTGACCAGGCAGCCCGTGCACTCCTTCACCATTGTCTCTATATCTCGAACCCCAAAAACTCGATGGCTGGAACGGCGAAGGTGCACTTTTCCCCATTTAGCGTGAGGTTGTGACTGGCGAGGATGTCCAGCACCCTCGCCAGGCGTTTGTCATGAACGGCCGGTGTTGCACCATGAACCACTATGTCGTCCAGGAAGATGGCCGGCCCTGAGGCTGAAGGGCATGCGGGTATAGTGAAACACTCCGAAATGCGTCACGAAAGCTGTAAGGCTGCGGCTGTCAGGGTGCAGCGGAACCTGCAGGTAGCCTTGGCGAAAGTCTAGTTTTGTGAACACGGAAGAGCCGTAGAATTGTGCGACTAGCTCCTCCACTGTGGGCAGTGGATACCTGTCAGGTGTCACAGCCTTGTTCTCCGGCCTGAGATCGCAGGCCCCATGACTTTTTCTTCACCACCACCAGGTTTGAAATCCACGGGGAAGCATCAATGCGCTCGATGATGCCCGCGTCCAATAATTTTTGCAGCTCGGCGGTGACGTCGTCGCGCAGGGCGAGAGGCAGGCGGCGTATGGGCCGGATGTACCTCAGGCTTGAGGAGGGGCTGGTATTCAAAGGCGGTGAGGCAGCCCAAACCACTGAACAGAGCAGGCCAGTGCTGTTGCCAAGGCGAGCCAACAGACAAGATGACGGCCCCAGAATTGTCCACAAGGGTGAAACCCAGCTCACAAAACAAATCAAAAACCCATGAGGTTGGCCCCCTGGCGAGACACTTGAAAGGTGAATGCAGGGAGAGCCTTAGTCCCTTAACGCACAGCAAAGGTGATCGTGCCCGCCATTCCTATTTTAGAGTGTCCATACCCGTACAGATCCTCGGCGTTGGCGGTGAGTGTTCGAAGCGGAAAGGCAGACCCCATCCAGCTCCACCGTGCAGCACTTTAGCGGTCGGGAGGTGGCGGCCACTGAGTGGATGGTCGTTGGCGCGTGCGGCCCAGGCATACGTGCAGGTGGGCTGTCGGTTGCGGGAACAGAGCGACAGACCCGTGAGAAATGGTTCTCCCTGCCACAGCGTTGACACCTCTGTCCCTTGGCAGGGCAGTTTGGAGCTCGATTCTGGTGCGATGATGAGCCACAATTACTACAGGCCTGGCGTGTTGCCGTACCCTGGCGTGCTGCAAAGTTCACATCCAAGTTGTCCTCAGGGAAAACCTTCCTGGGAGGTCAATGGGTAGCGCCACCGTTTGAGTTAGTAGCATGGGTCTGGGGGGAAAATAACTGGAGGAGGGAGCTAGCTGTGATGCTAAGGCTGATGTTGACTTGAGCTGGAAAGCTATATCCACTGCTCTTGCTGAAGTTAGCTCATCTGTCATCATTAGCAACTTTTTTCTGAGCTTCGGGCTATTAGTGTGCTCAGCCAGCTGATCCTGTATGAGTTCATCTTCTAGCGCCCCAAATTTACAGAGGCTGGCTAGTCCTCTCAGATCAGCCACCTGATCTGACCTGGTCAACGGACTCACCCGCCTGTTGCCGAAGTTGCCGAAAAACAATCCGCCGGAGCATAACATTTTGTGGAGCAGCAAAGTGTCCAGTGAGCAGTGTAACACAGTCCTCATATTTCGGAGTGGGTCCGAGAGTCCAAATAATCCGCTGTCCCTCGCTACCCAGCGTGTGTTTCAGCAGGGCTTCCTGTCGTCGTTAGCATCAGCTAGCTCCATGGCTACTATGAACGTTTCGAAAGACTCAAGCCAGAAAACCCACGGGATCGGCGGTTCGCCAGGCAGTGCGAGGAACGGGGAGAGAGGTGAGAGTAGAGAATCCATAATCCTAGTCCCCAATGTTGTGTTTAATAAGACTATGGACTACGGCTTTTGAGTTGACCGTTTATTGAACCAGCTGCCATGGCTTCACAACAAAAACTACCGGTTCACACATCCCCAAACTCCCGGTGCCATCTTAAAGGCACAGTCACACCTGATGTGACACATACATAACACTTGTGTTTGAACAGATATAGAGGTCTCAAAGAAAACACAGGAATAATCAGAGAGCACAACATCAGTCTCCACAACCTTGGAGATGTTCAGACCCTCAGAGATAATTAAGTCCAGAGTGTGCCCCTTATTGTGCGATGGATCCGTCACATGCTGAGTCTGTCCATAGTTATCACAAAACAGTTATTTAGCCCCTCTGTCCTGGGGGTTGTCTTCATGCAGACCCGGCGCCAGAACAAATCTACAAAGAGGGCATATGATTTTCATGGGAGGGCACACAAAACCGTCATATGCCACGGCCAGTATCGGGGTAGCTTGACGTTTCATAGAGGGTGCTCAAACATGTAGGGTTTCCCATTAATGTACCGGGCGCTACAGTGGAATTTTCTACTGCAACACTCCCCACACGCACATACACAGTGTACCCGCGACTGTTACAATGAAGAACAAAGTCATCCCAAATCCTATACTTCCAGCGGCGGGAGTCTGTAGGAACATCGCAGCGGATGGTGGTGCTGGTCCTCCTTCCGGAGGACAACATGACGATAAGACCCTAAACCCGCAAGGAAGGGTCCTGTCCGATCACATCACCCTGTCCGATGCACTCATGCGTTGTCGGAGACCATTTGTAATGGGAACCTTCAATACAGTGAGAGAAGAAGCTAGATTGGTAGAATTAGCACACTGTGCTGAGGAACGGGGAGTGGAGATCCTGGGAATCCAGGAACACAGAAGAGTGCACACTGATGACCAGATCGTGTATCGCAGAGTGGAGGGATGCACGTTCATCACTGCATCTGCGTGGCGAAACGAGGCCCAGGCTGAAACAGTAGGGCTAATGCTGGGCCCTCGGGCGCGTAAGGCTCTCCGTCGGGTTTATCATCACACCGATAGGATCCTTATTGCAGAGTTCTCAGGCAACCCAGTAACAACAGTCATAGTTGTGTACTCACCCACCAACGTGGCACCATCTGAGGAGGTGGAGAAGTTCTATGAGGACCTTGCAATAGCAGTCCGAGATGTCCCAGCACACAACTTCCTGGCAATCCTGGGTGACTTCAATGCAAGGCTTGGACCAGAGGACGCACCCTACCAAATACCACGACTCTACCAACCGCAATGGCGTATACCTCATGGTAGGGCTGGGCGATTTGGCCTAAAAATAAAATCGCGATTTTTTTTCTAACTAATAGACAATTTTCGATTCAAACCTCGATTTTTTTCTGTTTTTTTTTAAACAAACCAGACCAAGGCAAAATGTAAATACATATTTTCTTTGCAAAAAATGCGTAAAAAGGAGGGTTTCTGCCCCATTACTTCTCTTCTTACTTCTATAAGAATAAAACACGGTGAGGTGTAAAATGTGTTTTAATATCATAAATGTTACGCATACCGTCAGTTTAAATGCTGTTTTATACTGAAAAACTAGAAGTTCTTGTGCACAACCAGTTTTATTCTGAAAATCCTTCATCTCCGGACGGTTAGCATTTAGCATGTGGCTAATATACCATTTACTATAGAGGTGAATTTAGTAGCGATATGACACGGAGTGTTGCACACCGAAACCTACTGATTTCAACACTACAACTATAGACGTGGAGATATTATTATTGCTGAATATTAAATAAAGGTACAGTTTATTTGAATACGTTTGTTTACAGACGTGGGTAGTAGTATGAGACAACATCCGGAACTACCGTAAATGAAACCAGCCGTGAAGTATTTCCTGTATTTTTGGAGTATTGATTACAGCGTTTAAAATGTATTAAATGAAAAGTCATGAAAGAGATAAGGAGGAGAACAGGCGTGTTTAGTTATATATTTAATGTACAATGTCGGAGTCCTCTGTTATGCTCAACAACGAACATTGGAGACGTGGAGGGCCGGCCCCCAGCAGCGCCAACCGGCCTACAGCGAGCCAGCGGAGGAGATATATCAGCTGGAGAGGTGGAGCTCGCTCTCCTCCCTTCGCTCACGAGAGCTTTTTTAATTAAAGCACCATTTGAACCTTCTCAGAGACTCCATTTAGTCTCCTTTTAAAGCTTCTCTCCTGGACGCGAGAATAACGAACACAGCATAACAACAGCAGATCGGGCAGAGCTGCAGATCGGGTAGTCACAGGCAATGTGGCTGAGTTTTGGGCGCGTTCTGGAAAGTGAGAGAGTAAGCTACTACGGAGTCCCTTAAAGCAAAAACAAATCTGCGGAGTCTAGAAATGTTTTTAAATCACGATTTTTCGGTTCAGCCATTTCACAAACCGTAGGAAAGTAAAAATGCAAATTAATCGTGAAAACCGAAAAAATCGCCCAGCCCTACCTCATGGCCCTTCTCATGAACATGAGCTACTGGCAGTGAACACCATGTTCCGGAAAAGAACAGGCAAGAGATGGACCTTCCAAGATCGAGCCACAGGCATGCTACGTCAGTTGGACTACATATTTGTGAGGCAAAAGTGGAGGAACTCCATCCTGAATGCTGAACCGTACAGCACGTTCAGCTCTGAGGGCTCTGATCACCGCGTGGTCTCCATGAGGGTGCGACTGAGCCTCAGGGTCCCCAAGCCAAGCCCCAAGATCCGGCATGACTGGAAGGCATTCATAACGGACCCTGGCCTTCAAACCAGGTATACGGAGGAGGTTAGGAAGCGCTTTCGGCAGCTGGATAAGGGAGCGGAGCCCAGCAGCGAATACAGGAGATTCATTGTTGCAAACGAGGAGGCGACCAGGCTATGTGTGCCCGTGCTGGACAGAGCCAGAACCACCCTACGGTCCAGACATCCGGAGGTCGTAGCAGCACGGGGTAGGGTGGAGGAAGCACGCCTCAACTTTGAGCGTGAACCAACCTTGGAGAGACGTGGGGTACTGAACGAAGCCAAACAGTTTCTCTTCAGTACCTACGACACCATCAAAGGGGAGGAACTGATGGGGAGTGTGCAAAGAGTGTAGGCAGCGCAAGGTGAAAGGCAATATGGGGAGGCCTGGAGGGTCATCAATGAGATGACTGGGCGGAAGAGGACTAAGGAGGGAAAGGTTGAGGGACACAGCCCAGAGGAGAGGGTGACGACCTGGTTCAACCACTTCCAAAGCCTGCTGGGCACAATAGCAGAAGAAACTGAGGAAAGTATACCAGCATTCCTCCAGAATCTGCCCATCGACGATGGTCCCTTCACAGCCAGTGAGCTTGCCAGGGATGGCATACCCCCGGAGGTCTTAAAGTACTGTGATCTCGATGACCTCATCCTAGACTTTTGCAACCTCGTTCTACTGCACAACATGCAGCCTGATATATGGTCTCTCTCCAACATCATCCCGGTGCCTAAAGCTGGATACCTCTCAAAGCCAGACAACTACCGAGGCATCAGCCTGACATGTATCACCGCAAAGGTTTACAACCGGATGATACTAAACAGGATACGGTACGCCATCGACCCTCACCTGAGGGAGAACCAGAATGGCTTTCGAGAGGGGAGAACCACCGCAGCCCAGATCTTGGCACTAAGGAGAATGATCGAGGAGGTGAAAAAGGATAACCTGACTGCTGTACTGTGCTTTATCGACTTCAAAAAGGCATTTGACTCGATCAACAGAAGCACAATGGTGAAGATCCTTGAGGCCTATGGTGTCCCTCCCAACCTACTCCGGGCAATAGAGACCATGTACGCTGGAACAAGGGCAAGGGTGGTGACCCCAGATGGCAACAGCGAGGAGTTTGACATCCTGGCTGGGGTAATGCAAGGGGACACCCTGGCCCCCTTCCTCTTCATCATGGTCCTGGATTATGCACTCAGGAAGGCCATCAGTGGACGAAAGCAGGATCTTGGCTTCACTCTAACACCAAGGAGGTCGAGACGACACCCCACAGTAGTCCTGACAGACCTGGACTATGCGGACGACATCAGCCTGCTCTCCGACAGCGTGGAGCAAGCACAGGAACTCCTGAACAGAGTGGAGTCAGAGTGTGCCAAGGTTGGCCTTAGGCTAAACGCCAATAAAACTGAGGTTATCACCTATAACATCTTACCGGAACATCCACCTCTGACAACAACAAAAGGCACTGTGCTTAAAGAAGTCAAGGACTTCAAGTACCTGGGCTCATGGGTCAACTCAACCGAGCAAGATCTTAAGATGAGGAAAGCACTTGCATGGAGGGCCCTGAACGGCATGACCAGTGTATGGAACTCCAACCTCCCCCGTCAAATCAAACTCAGCTTCTTCTATGCAACGGTAGAGTCTGTTCTCCTCTATGGCAGTGAATGCTGGACCCTGAAGCCAACCCTGCAAAAGTCTCTAGACGGATGCTACACCAGAATGTTGCGAGCAGTACTTAACATCAGCAAGAGTGTACATGTAACCAACAAGATCCTGTACGAGGGAATACCAAGGGTGAGTGAGAAAATTGCAGCCAGGAGAATGAGACTAGCAGGACATTGCCAAAGGCATCAAGAGCTGCCAGCCTGCAAATTGGTGCTGTGGGAACCAACACACGGGTATCGGTCACGAGGACGTCCCACACAAACATACGTGGACGTACTCAAGAATGACGCAGGAGCACAAAGTACCGATGAACTGGCCAGATGTATGGAGAACCCGGGATGACTGGAAGCAACGATGGAGGGCTCTTCTGAGGACGACCTAGAGAGAGAGAGAGAGTATTGGTGTAGCTCAAACATGTAGGGTTTCCCATTAATGTACTGGGCGCTACAGTGGAATTTTCTACTGCAACACTCCCCATACGCACATACACAGTGTACCCGCGACTGTTACAATGAAGGCTCGATAATCAGCTCACGGCATATAGGTGTAAGCAGGTGTAAAGTGCTATTTTTCTAAGTGGGGACTGGACCTCATATCCTCCAGGGGGGTCCGGGGGCATGCTTTTTAATATTGAAGTTAAAAGCATCAATCTGTTGCACTTGGAGAGCAAAATTAATTGATCTATACCTCTCTTCATCAACACCCATATGAGACAGAACTGTAAACAGATTTACTATTTCTTTATGGTTATTTTACAAATCACTCCCCTTTTAAACTCTATTCTTATTTTACTGTCATATAGTATGTCGTACCTGTTTTTCATTTATGACTCTTATATTACTATCTGACATCACATACATCGTAGTCTTAAAGTTCACAGTTTTGTTATTATTAAAAAAATATATATATAAATATATATATATATAATTGTTTTATAAATAAAATAAAACATGTTTATTGGGGGAGGGCAGGAATGTCAAATGGGAGGGCCTGGCCCTCCCTGGCCCTCCCACGGCGCCGGGTCTGTCTACATGGATGTTAAAATGACCAACAATGACTAGACGGTCAAAGTAAAGCGCTTTGAGCATCTGGAAAAGCTCTATAATAAATGTAAGGAATTATTATTATTATTATTAAAGTCAAAACACACTATACAGCAGTTCAGTAAAGTCATCAAAACAAATTGCACAGTATTTGGCTGGTCTATATATATTTAGGAACATAGCTCAAGAGGAGCATTTCAGCTGAAGGGCCACATATTCAAAAGAAGCAACGTTTCCATAAGATGTCTACTTGCATTGAAGGGAATCATTGAACAAAATAGCAACTGAATCCCCTGTCTTATGCATTCTTTCCTGACTCATACAACTTAAGTTGGGACGGGTTGATTCAATAAGAACCGCTGCACTGTTATTTTGGTCTATCCAAGTTTCAGTTCAAACTTGATGTGAATTCTGTAAATGTTTAAATCCATCTTATTTAGTGCAACATATTTCATATATAATATATTCTTTGTCTAAATGACATTGTCTGTTTATCTCGGCCTGTGACCTCACGACTGCCATCAGCTTTTCAGATAAAACCTCGGCCAGCACAGTAAGGCTACTTACTGCTGTCTAAAGTATATTATTCATTTACCTCCTATGTTGATTCAACACACCAACAATAGTCATGTTTGTTGTTTACGTACATTATTAGATCAATGTTCTTCCTGTAATATCATTGGAGTTTGTAATGGCACCCTTAACTTCTGAACCATGTGTGGCCTGTTACTAGAAATAGGGTGTTTTCTAATTTTGAAACTCTGAAAGTCATAACATTCAGTTATTAATATCATTTTATTTCTGCAAACTATTTTTTCAAATAAATAATGTGTATCACAATGTATAATATTAACCTTGAAATTATTTAATTCAATCCAACAGGGGTTTGGTTGGCTATTAAAAAAGTGCAATGGAGACTTGTTTTTTTGTTTTGATACAAGGACTACACCGACACATCTCAGTTTGAAGTCACATGGTACCAATGTCATTACAGGCTAATGCCATGGGAGAAAATGAACAACTGCCAACACGGTTTGTAAGGCAATGATTGGACACAGAACAGAAAGCACCTTTGATGATGGCATCTCCCATCATTAAGGTCGTGTAAATGCAATTTCTGATGTTTGCAGTGTGGAACAAAAGGGGCACTAAAGAGTGTAACTAATGCATCAGCACTTCAATGGTCTGGCTTGTTTGAAGCAAATATATCTGCACTTTTCTTCTTAATCTTTATGGTTTATTGCACTTATTACAAGTCACTTTGGATAAAAGCGTTAGTTTACTGAAATGTTATGTATTGTTAAAATGTAATCTACAATAACAATAGAAATTAAGATTTGATGATGAATAATGTTTCAGTAGTTACTATGTTTACTCTGTCAGGGCTAAGTGGGACTACAAACTACAGAGTTGTTCTTTTTGCTCTCACTTTGCTGTGTTACTTTGTGATTTGGCTGGTAAATTTGACCATTATTGTGACCATCATTTTGCACAAAAAGCTTCACGAGCCCATGTATATCTTCCTGTGTAATCTGTGTATAAATGGACTTTATGGGACAGCAGGCTTTTACCCAAAGTTCCTGATTGATCTTCTGTCTACCACTCATGTTATTTCATATGCTGGATGTCTTCTGCAGGGTTTTGTGTTGCACTCTTCAGTTGCTGCAGATTTCTCTTTTCTCGTGCTGATGGCCTACGACAGGTATGTGGCTATATGTCGACCTCTGGTGTACCACTCTGTCATGACTAAAGAGAAAGTTGGTGTGTTTGTGTTTTTTGCTTGGTTAATACCCATTTGTTTGGTGTTCATGGGCACAATAACAACATCAAGAACAAGTTTATGTGGCTCACAAATACCGAGAATCTACTGTGTTAACTGGTTGATAGGTAAACTAGCTTGCTCTGCCTCCATTGCAAACGTTGTTATTCCAGCTTTTAATTATACATTTTATTTCGGTCATTTTATATTTGTTGGTTGGTCTTATATACATCTGATCAGAACATGCAAAGCCTCCAAAGAGAACTGGAGTACATTTATGCAGACATGTGTACCACATTTATTCTGTTTAGTAGTGGGTGTTGTTTCTTTGCTTTTTGATTTGTTGTACATGCGATTTGGCTCAAAAGGACTGCCGCAAAGTGCCCAGAATTTTATGGCAATGCAGTTCATCATTGTTCCTCCAGTTATCAATCCTCTGATGTATGGTTTCAAATTGACACAAATAAGACAAATAATTAAAAGTGCTCTGTGTGGTAGAGGATCAGTTGTTGGATTAAAGTCATGAGCTGTTCACAAAGGAAAGTTCAGTTTGTATATACAAATGTGTGCAGAAAAACCCAATATGTCTAACAGAACTGTTAATCTTTAGATAAAGTAACATGTGCAGAGTATAAGGCCCAACTCAGTACTTAGAGAGTGAAAGAAAGTAGTTTAGAGGGGACGCCTGTCTTTCTCTTAGGCGTGTGAAGCAGGCCAACCATAAGTTATCTTTATCACTACAATCATATCTTAAATGTTCCTCCTAATGTATCTCACATTTACTATATTTTAATAGTTTGTATTTCAATACATCTGTATTTTATCATAAAACGTATGATTCGTTTCACACAGGTGTGTTTCTTTTGAGTAGTTGCACAATATTGTTATTCTCAGATCAGTGTGTGGGCTCAGTGTT